ATGACTCTGGAGGCGTTTCTAGCAGTGTTGTGTGGCTCTGCTGCAGAGTTCCTGACACGTGTGCTGGTGGGAGGCCACAGGCAAAGTTCACTCCATTAAAATGCCTGTGCTGTGGGTGCTGTTGGTGCCAGCAGAGCTGGCAGTGAACGTGGGGGGTTGGCTGGATCCCCAGGGGTTTATTCCACAAGGACAATCCATGCCTGCCTTCAATCTTTAGGGTGGTTTAATGACAGTGATTTAAAAATGATCCAGAGAAGGGCACCGGGGAGGTTGCTGAGTGTTTGTGAGCCCCACGTTGCCTTCTGCCACTTGCAGCACCTGCTGGGGTGCAGAGTGACAAGGAGTGCTCAGAACTCTGTCACCAGTGAGGTCTTCATCTGCTGCTGACACACCAACATACTTTTTCCTCCCTGCTGCTCCTGTGAGATTTCTCAGTGAGAGCCAGGTAAATGGCATTCCCAGTGATTAACTTCTGGCATCAGGGTTTTGAGAAGGATGGATTTGCTGTTACTGCCAGGATTTGGGGCCATTCCCCTTAGGGGAGCAGAATGAGCAGAGTGAGACAGTGCCACAACCTGGCTGCAGCTTCTGCTGTGTCCCAGGAGTGACAGAATTAGGGCAGGAAAGGGAGGGTTCCCCAAAGACTTTTCACAAAACATAAGTATTTGGATAGTCTAGGGCTAAAACACAGAAAGGAGGTGGCCAGAGCAAAATTGAAGGGAGCAGCCTGTGCCCATAGCAGCTTTAGCTAAAGAGGAGCTTATTCCTGAGTAAAAGGCCAAGTTTTTAGGGTTTCTGGCATTTTAAAATTGCTAGCTCTGACCTGTTTCTGAAACTTTCAGTCTGAATGCAGCAAAAGGTGTTGCAAGGGAGCAGTTAATTCACATCACAGCATCTCAAGAGGCTGAGGGTGCCTGAGGTTGGCTGTAATGCCTTTGGCTGTTTAAATCTTCACCTTGGCTTGGGGAGGTTGTGCCAAGTTTCAAGAGCCTCTTTTCTCCCTTCCTCCCTGCTGTGGTCTCATTCTCTCCATCTGGATGGGACACACAGGTGGCTGTTGCCTCTCTGCTCCTCTCCTTTGGGAACCTGTGTCTTCCTCACTGCATGGCAGCACCTGAGCTGAGCTCTCGGCTCTGGGTGCTGCTGCTGCTGCTGCTGCCTCCCTGTGTCCTGAGGAAAGGGCAGATTGTGTTTGCTCTGATGCCTTGGTCCATTTTGCCTGGTCACAGCTGCATCTTCCTCCTCATGGTGGTGACAGAAGATACAGAAGAGGTTCCTGCAGCTGAATTTAAGAATTAAATTTAAAAATGCAGTTGTTCATTGATGTGATTTTTCCAGTTACTGAAAATGCCAGAGGGATGGTTTAGCTGTAAGAACAGAATGATTTGCATGTGGGGACAGTCACAATTTAAGAATTAAATTTAAAAATGCAGTTGTTCATTGATGTGATTTTTCCAGTTACTGAAAATGCCAGAGGGATGGTTTAGCTTTAAGAACAGAACAATTTGCATGTGGGGACAGTCAAGGTGGAGGTGCAGGGGTGACCCCATGCCATGGCACTGCCATCTCAGTGGCCAGGCAGCAGTGAAGAGCCAGCTGAAGGCTCAGAGTACTGCTGAGACTTTACTGCCTGCTTGTGGAATGTCAGTTTGGGCAGCCAAGTCATTTGCTCCAATGTTTTTCTCCTTTTGAGGTCTCTCTGCAGGCTGTAGCTGTCCTTGGTTTGCTTCCTGGGGTAAAACTTGAATTAATCTTTGCTGTTGCTGAGACTGAACTGTGCAGGCAGTGGCAGTGGGATCGTGCAAAATCCTATAAAGAAGTCAGAATTAGTGACCATTACTCACATTCCTGCAGGCCCTGGAGCTGCTGGGTGCTGCCGTGGTGTGAAGGTGTCAGTTCAGAGCTGCAGCTGGGACTCAGTTCATGCTTTGGCTCCATAAGATAAGGTGCTTCCAGGTGTGGAACTGGGGACACAAGGAGAAGGGAATGAGGAACGAGCTGCTGGCTGCTTTCAGGGGCTGTCTGCATGTCCAGGAGTGCTGTGCAGGAGTCTCAGGTGAGAAGCAGAGCCTCAGCTTCCCAAGCTGTTCTTGTTTTCTGGAGGCTGGGAACCAGAGAGCCTTAAAATGGGCTGATTTTATTAAAATCTGCATTAACAGCACCCCCTGAACTCTGTACAGAGAGCTTATTGGTGAAAGTCAGACAGCAGGAGCTTATTGCCTTTGTCTTACTTAAAGAGTTTGTTTAAAATGAAACAACAGGCTCTGTAGAAGTTAAAGGAGAAAATAAAATGGGTGGAGTGTGTCTTGTCTTGACAGTGGTGCAGTTTGAGGGTGCCATGGGAAGGAGGTTTGAGGTGCTTTGCAGACACTGGGTAAAGCTCTGGTAAAAAAAGAAAAAAAAACCCTTGACAGTGGTGCAGTTTGAGGGTGCCATGGGAAGGAGGTTTGAGGTGCTTTGGTAAAAAAAGAAAAAAAACAACAAACATTTTGTATAAAATGTCTTTCAAGTGTTTCTGATGTGAACTGAACTTGTGTCTCAGCCCTGACAGGGGCTGGGCTGTACAACACATACAGAACTGTTTGCTCCTTGCCTTTGGGAGTCAATATTGGCTTGGGAGAAAGAAGATTAGTTTGGACAAAACAGATTGGTGGGAGATATTTAAAGCCTTTTTTTTCCCCTGGTTCCTTACTGTAGCTGCTAAACATTTGCTGCCCTGACCCAGGTGCCAGCCTGAGGCTGGCCAGGAGCTGGAGGCAGGAGCTCACCTGCTCGGGGTGGAGCTCAACATCCTCCTCAGGAGCTGTCCCACCCTGCACATCGGTGGCTGGCACAGCAGCCCTGGGTGTTTCACACTTCTGGAGTGGCCCCAGGCCACTGTCAGCATCTCCTGTCCCAGCCTTGGTGTGGTTTGCTCCATTCTCTCCCTGTTCTCTGGCTCACTGCAGCAACTGCACAGAATCCCAGAATGGTTTGGGTTGGAAGGGACCTCAAAGCCCCTCCAGTGCCACCCCTGCCATGGCAGGGACACCTCCCACTGTCCCAGGGTGCTTCAAGCTCTGCCCAGCCTGGCCTTGGGCACTGCCAGGGATCCAGGGGCAGCCACAGCTGCTCTGGGCACCCTGTGCCAGGGCCTGCCCACCCTCACAGGGAACAATTCCCAATTCCCAATATCCCATCCAGCCCTGCCCTCTGGCAGTGGGAGCCATTCCCTGTGTCCTGTCCCTCCATGCCTTGTCCCCAGTCCCTCTGCAGCTCTCCTGGAGCCCCTTTAGGCCCTGGCAGGGGCTCTGAGGTGTCCCTGGAGCCTTCTCCTCTGCAGGTGAGCACCCCCAGCTCTGCCAGCCTGGCTCCAGAGGGGCTCCAGCCCTGGGGGCATCTCCATGCCTGTAATGGATTTTAATGTCCAGAAACTGCAGCGTTCACTGAATTGAAGAACTGCAGAGAAGGTCCTGGCTGGGAACAGTTGGTACAAGTTTAAGTTCCCACTCTCATGGGTGATGCTCTGACCAATTTTCATCCAGCTCATTGCTGGATGTGTGGTGTCAGCCAGTGCCACCACTTGCATGTCACTGATTTGGCCACCAATTCTCAAATCCTCCTTCAGATGAATCAAAGTGACTTTCTCAAGTTTTTCCTCGTTTTTCTCCCTCAGTTACTCAAGTCTTCACTTGTTTCTATCTTAATGCACTCCATCTTTGGAACTGAAGATGGTTTGTATTGATTTGTGCTGACAGATGCAGCTCAGGGCAGGGAAGGACACAGCATGTGGTCCATCTGTGGGAGTGCCCAAGGGAAATGCCTCTTCAGTGACTCTGAAGCTTTTCCTTTTCCAGGTGAGCCCAGAGCAGTGTTAGGGTTTATTTGCAGTACTGGATGAACCACTCCATCATGTCCAGAGGAGGGGGTGGCAGCACTGCCAGCTCTGCTCTGTGTTTGGCCACTGCACAGTACTGGCATGGTCCCACTGGCACCAGCAGATGTTCCAGGAGCCCATGGTTACCAGTGAGCCTCTCCCCATTTCACTGCTTCTGGTTTCAGAGCCCATGCTGAGACAGAGGTACATCATACCTATGCTGAGACAGACCTGCTACACCCTCCTGCAAGTACAGCTTTAAACTTCCAAAGTAATAAACTCTTTAAAGCCAAGAGCCTTAACAACTGCAACATCTGCTGAGACAAGAAACACAGTTCTGAGGCTGGGCTGAGCATTTGGGAATTTTTCTTGCTCCATGGTGGGTGTCTCTGGTTTGCAGGGAGGCAGCAGCAGTGTCCAAAGATGAGAAGGACCTTGGCCACCCTCACCCAGTTCCCCAGGAACAGATAAAACACAATCTCCCCTGTGTGCTCTCAGGAAAGTCACCTCACTGCCAGTCCCAGCTTTAGGTGTTCAATTGCTGAGGAAAGCTCCTTCTTTCCTTGAAACAGTATTCTTAACTTAGCATCAAACGTTGTCTTTGCTGGTGGCAGGGCCTGGATTCCTCCTTTCTTACCCTTTGGTCCTTCCAGCACTGAGGGGGACAAGGCAGGGATGTCAGTGATGGGGAAGGGGGGTCAGTTGGGAAGGAGCTGGATGTGCCATGGCTGCAGCCCAGGGCAGGAGCTGCCCTGCAGGTCCCGTAGTGGTGCCTGGGCAGCAGCAGCTCCAGCAGCCGAGCTGTCCCCAGGCTCTGGGGACCTTTGCTCCTGGGCTGCTGCCTGCTCCATGCAGCCAGGCCATGGACACCTTGGTAAGTGCACCTTCCCTCCAGCCTGTTGGTTTGATTTGCTCACAGAACAAATTTCAGCTGGTTACTGAAAGCCTGCCCTGGGAATCAGAGCTCTGTGTCTGACCATGCCCAGCTGGGGCTGGGGGTGAGGGTTGGCGTTGGATGTGGGGTTGGATCTGCCCACCCTCTGTCCCCACAGTGACCCCACACAGTGATCCCCCTGTAAAAGCCATCCCTGGGCATTGGGGTGGTGGTACCTGATTACAAAGAGCTGGAGAGAGATTATTTTTGGAGTGATCAGCTGAAAGCAGGGTTGGCTTTGGTTTGCCAAGGGCAAGGAGTGGGCCTGGGAGCCAGCACAGGCCCCTGAGCATCCCCTGCTTCCTTGGGAAGCTCCCTCAGCACTGACCCAGGGCTTCAGCACTCCCTGTCCTTGCACAAGCACAGGGGGGATGGATAGAAACACAGATGGATAGAAAGCATTAATTGAAAATGCCATTGAAACATAATTGCATTACAAATTGAAAATTAATTGAGAACACTTTCCAGTTAAAATATTTTAAAAGGCAAATTCAAGTGTTTTGAGGTCTCCAGGTTAGCTGGACATTATTTTTTCCTGGTTTCTCTGTTCCTTTCCCTCCTGCCCGGCACAGCCGTGTTCCCCCTCTCCCTCCCTTGCAGAAAGAGAGAACTCTCTGTTTACACCCCTGCTGGGCAGCCTCGCCGGGGCTCCACGGGGACGGGGCTTCCTCGCAGCAGCCTCGCTGTAAATACTCTGCCAATGCTTCGTGGACAAACCGAGATGGCAAAAAGTTGTACCTGTGAAATGTTCAGCTCTGTGTGTATATAGATCCAACGTGTATTATCTGCAGCTCTGTATCAACTGTATATTAAACTGCTCCGTGTACAGCCGATCATTTCACGCTCTCTTAGATGTAGAAAAGCTGAGAAGTAATTCACAATACACTGTGTCAACTCCAAATCGTTTTTGCTTTCGTATTTTTGCTCCAACCCTGCTTCAGCCGCAGCCCTTGGCACGTGATCTGGAAGAAGAATAGTTTGGGATAGGTTTTTCAGCCCTTTGGTTTGGATCTGCCTTTTAACAATGTTTCTTTGATAAAACTGAAGCCACCAAGTTAATTTTTGATGAGGTGCGTATTTAGGAGGCATCTCAAACCCGGAAGGGCTTTGTCACATCGACGTGCTGCACTTTGATATGGTGGTTGGCACAAATGACCTTCCTGTTCCCAGTGCCCAGGCTCAGAAGACGACTCCTTCCTAATTTTTCCTCGTTTTAATCCAGCTCTGAAGCTTTGGGAAGGGGCCGTGCAGCTGCCACTGGCAGCACCTCTGCAGCCACCTTCGGTCACTGCTGGGCAGAGCTTTTCCCCACAGGGAGCTTGTGTTGGCCAAAACTGGGAATGAACTTTAAATAGTTATTTTTCTGTTTGGCAGAGAGCACTGATAGTTTACTCTGGAATTCCAGTGCCTTATTCAGAGCCCTTTAATTTGCTTGGAAAGGGGAATGAGGCAGTTTTTCTGGAGTGAGTGTCCACAGAGCAAGGACTGGCTGAGTGGCAGTGGCTGGGCAAGAACAGGAACCTTGATAGTTCCAAAACCAAAATCTGGCCCAAAGAACAAACCGCGTGTCTGTCTGTCTGTCCCACACCCCCCACCTCTCTGGGGGTTTCTTGTCAGCATCCCACTGTGTGTTCATCAGGTTTCACTGGGGAATGGAAGCCCTAATGAGGCTCTGAGCCCTCCCCAGTCAGGTTTGACCTGGCAGATGGCAGAAGGTTTCCTCTGGCTCCTGCTGCCTGTCGATGACCAGTGACCCACCACCACTGCCCTGCAGCACCAAACCCTTCTCAGCAGGCAGCCAGAGCATCTGGATGTGTCCACACTGTCCAGCTTGCCTTTCCCTGCTCTCCCTCGGCTGCAGCAGAGCAAGAGCTGCTGGAATTAAAGCGGCATCCAGTTTCTCTGGGTCCCAACTGATTCTTTTCCCCCATATTTTGAACATTTGTTTTTTCCCCACACACCAGGTAAGTATCAGAGCACACAGTAACACGTGTGGTGTAACTGCACCACAGCCACGTCTGCCCTGAGCTCTCGGTGCCAGCCCAGGGTTTAGTGCCAGTAGGGTGTGTAGGCCTTGCTGGGGTGTTCCCAGGCATTCGCCTCCTGTTGTAGGTGAAAACTGTTCCAGTGTTGTCCAGTCAGGTTCTGACTGTGGATCCTGGTGATTGTCAGCGCCAAGGGATGTTTTTTAATAAATCTGGTCAAGGTATTTGAAATTAATCCCGTCTTGTTTTCAGTTTGTCTTGTCCTGGGTGAGCCCATGTTAAAGTTTCTTTTCTCTCTGTGGTTTGTTTTGTGGTCAGGACGTGTCGTACACCGATGGGTTGGGTGTGTTGAAAGACCCACCCTGTGTGTGGTTAGTTTATGTGGGGATGTGTAACAAGAAAAGCCCAGAGTTCTCTCAGGGAGATGTTTCACAGCAGTTCCTGAATGTCTGGGCTGTCTTTGTCCCTAGTGATCTTGGGTGCTCAGCCCGCTGCCATGGTGTTCTTGGCCCAGCTGGACAGTGGGGGACAGCAGGGCCACCCCAGAGGCTGTTCCATGTCTCTCATCTACAGGTGCTGCCAGGGATGTGGCACCTCAGGCATGCTGCAGAATGGGATCTCGGTGGGATCCACTGGCTTCTTCCTCCTCTGGTAGAAGGAGGCTCCAGGATTGCCCTGGGTGCTGGGAAGGTGAGTGGTACCTGACCCCACAGGTTATTGGTGTGGGGTGCTCCCAGGCTCTGCACTGCCTGGCTGTGCCACTCTCAGGGTTTCCCCTTCTGAGGAGCCACCATCACCTTGGGGGTCACAGAGAGGTGCTGCAGCCCTGGAGCCATCTCCCAGCCTGTGACCCGTGGGTGGCTGGAAACTGCCTGCTCTTTGCCCTCCTTGCTTAAGCAGAGGTGATAGTTCAGCTTTTCTGTGGAGGTCAGAACTTGCAGGTGGCCTCTGGCCAGGCTTGGCCACATTTTAGGACCCCAGTGTCCTCCCAGCTCCAGCACTGTGGGAGGTGGGTGTGGAGCAATCTGCCAGCTCCTGCCCTGGTTCCCCTGGGGTATCCTTGAGGGTTTCTTGGGGATCTCCAATCCAAGCTGTTCCCCTGTTTTCCTGGGGCTGCTCCAGCTCTGTCTGGGTCACAGCCCTGGCCTCCATCTCTGCCCAGGGAATGCTCATCTGCCTCTCCCTGCTGTGACTTCATCAAGAGACTCTGCCCTGGTCCTGCTTCAGGGGCAGCCCATGGACAGGGTGCTCTCACCAGGCTTCCCACACCAGCCACCGACTTTTCACACCAAAGAGCTTTTCCTTCATCTCTGGGTCAAATATTTGTTTGGAGCAATTATTTCCCCCTGCTCTCTCTGGTTCTGTGACATTTCAGTCCAGCAGAGCCCACAGCAGTTTGTATGAATGGCCGTGGCCACTGCAGTGGCATGGGGGACATCGTGTGTCATGGCTCTGCCAGGGGGACCTGCAGGGCTCTGCTCAGCCTGGCCACACCAGATTTGGGTCTCATTCATTAATCACTACTTTGCTGTTGGTAACTAAACTTCTGTTGCTTTGTGATGTCAAGCAGCATTTCTCCTTTCCCAGCCTTGCAGAGTTTGTGGGAATTCAAGAGCTAGATGCAAATGAACTTCATTAACATGCTTAATTATCTTATAAACCTCATACCCATCTGTCCTGCATATGCTTTGTGCTTGACACTCGATGACAAAGTGACCATGTTGGGCTTGGCACGAGGTGCCTGGGAGAGGGAACCCTTGGGAAGAGCCGGGCTCTGCCTGCAGAGGGGCTGTGCTAGTGCCAGGGGCACGCTGGAGGTGAAATGTCTTTTTTCAAAGACTGTGTCTAAGCTGGGAGATGGGAAATGATGTGTAGAACATGTGGCATAATGGCACAAACTTAGGAATGATCTGTTAAAAGCAGAGAACCAGCATGGAAACAATTGCAACAAACCCCAATCCCTGTCCGTTTGCAGCCCAAGATTCTGGACTGCATTCTGTAGTGGCACGTGATGCATTTCACAGAGGGAAAGCTGTGCTGCAGTCACAGCACTGGGGGCCTTGAGCAGTCTCAGGGAATGCTTCTGTCCTTATTTAATGTTATTGAAAAATAGCAGAAATAATGAGCTTTTACTTCTAAGTTAGTTTGCAAACTGATGGATCTACCTGGGTAAGGGACAATGCAAACCCCAGACTTGTGCCAGAGCCTTCTGAGGGTTTAGGGGCTGTGACAGGGTCTGGGCACAGACTGTCAGCTCTTCTGTACAACAGAATCATGTTGGAGCCACCTCTGTCAGGGGACACTTGGCACATGGGGTGACCCTTCAGGTGCTGCTGTGTGCTCCTCACTCACCTCATGGCATGGGAAAAGCAGTGATGTTGTGTTGGTTTCTGCTTTTTGGCCATGTGTTTGGAACCAAGCTGAAGCAGAACATGAAATTTTGCCAGCCTGAGGGGGAGAAAGGACCCAGGATGAGCAGCCCTGGGAGCAGCTGTCCTGCCCCCAGAGCAGTGAGTCCGTGTGTCCGGGCAGAGGAGAGCAGGGAGCACAGTGCATAGCAAAGTGCTGACGGAGGATCTCCTTCCCTCCTCTCGCTCTTGCCAGCTCACATCAAGCCAAAGACACCTTGTTCCTGCAGGGGCCTGGGTAACACGCCAGCCTGGGCACCCCTGTGCCTTCCCCCTCTGCATGCAGCCTCCTGGTCCCAGGCCAACCTCCCTATCACGTTACCAGCCCGTCCCCTCCAGCGCCGCAGTCGTGAAGTTTAGGAGAGAGACTGTTGGAAACTGTGGAGCTGGAGCTCTAAATAATTGTAAATATGAGCAAAGCAGAGATGTGGCTGCAGGGCAAGTATTGTCTCTGTGTGCTGTGGTTGTGACCAAACTGGGAAGTTGAAGAGAAAACACAACTTTGCAGCAGGTTGGTGGTTTGGGGTGTTTTTTGTGTGGAGTTTGTGTGGGTTTTTTGGGGGAGTTCAGGCATGTGCCCAGTGAGCTCAGGCCCCCAGGGCACAGTGGTTTGATGGCATTGCAAGTGATGTACAAACATGTATTAGTAGCATTTTTTGATAACTCTGTGCCAGTCACACTCTGAATCCTTCTTCCTGCAAAAAGAGGAAATAATTTAACTTTTCTTTCTAATCCATAGAAAATACAAGGGGAAAGTGCCCCCCTCACGTGGATCCACCTGCAGAGCTGCTGTTGCACAGCTCCTGCCCCAGCATCCAGCACTGATCACACCACAGGAGCCACAGCTGCACCTGTAGGTGCCACTGTGATCCAGCTGGGCATGAACAGCTCTGCTGGGGACAGGTCCTGCTGGTTCAGCCCCTTGTCTGCCAGGAGCTCCCCCAAACTCTGCCTGGTGAGCTCATCTCAACTCTGCTGACAGGGGTCACTGGGACCCTGTGGAGAAGGGAACATCCAGGGGAACAGAGGAGCTGGTGTGATTCCAGGATGGTACCTTGGCCCAGAGGTCCCCTGAAATGCTTTTTAGCCCTGCAGGTGCCCAGTTTGAGGTGGTGGGTCCTGTAAAGGCTGTCACAGCTGTGCCAAGTGCACCTAGGGGCATTAGAAAAGGGAAGTCAGATGTGACAGGCTGAGCCTCCAGCTGAGGTCTTGCAGCATGTGTCACTCTCTGCTTCCAGGCCATGCACCAGGACTCATCCTTCCCTGCTGACCCCCCTTCTGGGAGTAATATCTGTTCTCCTCCTTTCTGGATGGGTTTTGGGGTGTCCGTGTGCTACCTGCACATGGGAGAAGGCAGTCTCTTGCTTTTATACCTGCTGCATAAAGATGTAAGTGCTGTAAGGCCCCTCGGTGCCAAAGATGCTTCCCAAAGACTGAAGATGCCAGGAAAGACCCCTCAAAGCAACGGGACTGTGATGGGTGGAAAGCTGCAGCTCTCCCCTTTGTCCCCACCAGCAGCCAGGGCTAGGGTGGCCTTGGGGACAAGGGGACAGGAGGGGCTGGCAAGGGCGCAGTGCCCGGCATGTCCCGGCCTTTATCTCCCCCTAGTGCCACCCTCCAGGCTCCTTTACTCCGGCAGTGCCGCTCACAGCGGCCCTGGGGCTTGAGGACTCCAGCTCCGGGGCAGCCACATCCCAGAGCAGCACAGGGGCTGTGGGGACCGGCAGGGCACGGCTGTGGGGCAAGACCCCCTTGGCCACAGGAGTGATGGCCTGAAAATCCTGGTCAGGTAAGCGTCAGGAAGAGCCACGACATCCAAGTGCAACAAGGAGGTTGGCATCACGGGAGCTGCGGTGGTGATGGGAGGAGAGGAGATGGTGGAGAGTGAGGTGATGAATGTGTCTTTGCTTGGCCTGAGGGGACCCGAAGGGTGACATTTCCAAGGCTGAAATGAGGTTGTTCTGGTGGCACTGTCACCTGAGCAAGGCCAAGGGTCCCTTGGAGCTGTGACGTTCCTGAGGGCATGGGACAGGGTCACGCCCTGCCTGCCAGGCCATGGGGATGTGCAACCCCGTGGAGCTGGAGATCACTTCGGTCAGCAGGACCCTGCTCAGCCCCAGCCGCTGTCCCTGAGCCCTGTGTGCCCTGAGTTGTGCCCAGCCCCAGCAGCAGCCGGGGGTGGCACACAGCCCGCGGGGCTCTGCTCCTGTGCCTTGTCCTCTGCTCTCTCCGAGCTTCCCATCGCCCGTGGTTTGAGCAGGAAAAGGGGCAAGAGGCTCTTCCTCAGGTACCGGCTCCCCCCTCAGCCCGGCACGGTAAGGTGTGGGAGGGAAATGGTTAAAAATATTAACCACAAAGAGCTCTGCACAGCCGTGGGTGGGGTCACGGGCGTCCCCAGGGACCGCTTCACACCCTGCTGCAGGTGACGTGCTGTGCTCTGCCTCGGGTGACCTGGCACCACTGGGGCTCCACGTTTTGTGGCTGTCCCCAAGCTGGGGTTGGAGCCTGTGCTCATTTACTGCGTTTCTGTTGCCCTCCAAGTTTTCCGATGCGTTTTAGCTCTTCAGAAAAGCCCTGCACATGGTGCCGGGGACAGGAGGCACGCTGGGGGGCACAGGGCTGCGGGGTATGGGGGCAAACGGCTGGGTGTGGGGCTGTGCTCTGTGGGGCCATGTGGGGCAGGGCATGGGGCTGTGTAGCATGAGGCCATGCTCTGCTGGGAATGTGGGGTGCACGGGCAGCCTCTGCTTTACGGGGGGACCCAGGCCATGCTGGATCCACACCACTGCAGCCCACACACAAGGACCTGCCCAAGCTGGGGGGTCACACAGCAGCTGTGCATGTGCCTGGCCACAAAACACCCACCCACCGCAACCTCCTCCAGCGCCCCGTGCTCTTCCAGTCCCGGTGCCAATCCCAGGGCCCTTCCCAGCAGGAATCAGCCCACTGAAGGAGTTTGCTGCTCTCTTCTGGCTTTAGACACATTTCGAACTGGAGGATTCCTCTTGTTCAAAGCGCCCAGAGGGGGCTCGTGCACGCACAGGGTTAATTGCCAGGAAAGCCCGCTGTGCTCAGCAGCCCCCCCGCGCCGGCCGGCCCTGGCAGCCCTGTGCCCGGGTATTTATAGCACCGTGAACTTTGAGCGTGTCCAGCGAGCGGGCAAAACCCGCTGGGGACGTGGGGACGGCCCCGGCAGAGCTGGAGGCTGTCGGGGGTCCTGGCCCAGGCTCCAGCAAAGCAGCCCAGACCATGCAGCAGCAGAGCCCGGCCCCCGTGCCCCCCACTCCCCACAGCCAGGCGGCTCCGGGGCGCCCCGGGACCCCGGCTCTGGGAGCCCTGTGAGCGCACCTGGCTGGCCAAGGATGTGGGGTTGAGTCTCTTCAGCCACAGCGGCGGCAGAGCAGCGTCCTCCCAAGCTGATGTTCCGGGTTTTGAGCTGGCATTCCTGGTTTCAGTAGCAGCTGAATGCAGGCATCTCCCCTTTGCCACGACAAACAGCAGGCAGAAGATCCCAGCTCTTCACGGTGTCCCGGGGCAGATTCCTTCTCATCACACAGCCTGCCAGCCAGTTCACCGTGTCCTGGAGAGAAAACATCATGTGTGGCTTCCTTACTCTGAAATTAGGCAGAGGGAAGGGAGCGTATGGGTGGTAGGGGATGGAAAGCCTCTGTGTGTAAAGCCTTGAAAAATACCTAAAACAAACAAAAAAAACAAAACAAAAAAAACCCAAAACAAACCCCAAAACTAAACCCAAAAAACACAAGGAAAACCAAACCAACCAACAAAAAAAAAATCCCTAAGGAAACACCAACCAAAAAAGAGAGCATTTGCTTATCTGGAACGCCTCTGCTCTGGAGCCAGAGGCAGAGCTGGGGGTGCTCACCTGGAGAGGAGAAGGCTCCAGGGACACCTCAGAGCCCCTGCCAGGGCCTGAAGGGGCTCCAGGAGAGCTGCAGAGGGACTGGGGACAAGGCATGGAGGGACAGGACACAGGGAATGGCTCCCACTGCCAGAGGGCAGGGCTGGATGGGATATTGGGAATTGGGAATTGTTCCCTGTGAGGGTGGGCAGGCCCTGGCACAGGGTGCCCAGAGCAGCTGTGGCTGGCCCTGGATCCCTGGCAGTGCCCAAGGCCAGGCTGGGCAGGGCTTGGAGCAGCCTGGGACAGTGGGAGGTGTCCCTGCCATGGCAGGGGTGGAGCAAGATGAGCTTTAAGGTTCCTCCCAAACTATTCCATAAAAAGGGCTATGAAGCACCCAGGGGCTGCAGAGTGGGGGTCTCTGGAAGACCCCAGCCCTACTGGTCAGTGCTTCTCCAGGATTTCAAGTCTGGGAGTTGGTTGGGGCATTATTTTTAGGAATCATTGAGACTGAAGCAGAGAGGAGAACAGGAAAGCCTGGTCTGCCATGCCTCCATCCACAGGGGATCCTGCTCCAACTGCTGTGTGTGCTGAGATCCCCTTAACTCAAAATTGATATGTGACTTTGCACAGAAAAAGCCAGAGGGGGAGGTGGGCATCAAGGATAATTAAAGAAATGGAGTAGCTTTCACCCAGGGAAGGACTATACAGGCTGGGATGCTTGATCCAGGGCAGGAAATGGCAAGTGAATATGACAGAAAGCAGAAGAAATTAATTTTTCCCCAGGTCAGAGAAGTCTGCATGGATCTTCATGAGGACAGTGGGAGATTTCTGGTTCTGTGAGATAAATCTCTGAAACAAAAATTATCTTCTCCTGGAGCCAAGTGTAGGATTTGCAGACCTGGTTACTGGAAACCCACCAAGACCATGGGGTTTTCTGCTCTCAAAAGCAACTGAAATGTTTTGACCAAAATTCCCTATTTTTCCTGTGTTTTCACTGTGATTGTGCCCCCAGAAGAAAGAATTTCATCCGCTGTGGGTAATGTGTGACAGTGCTGTAAGCAAAGAAAAATTGTGTCCTGTAAAGGGCAGTGTCTTGAAATTTTGATCATAGAGGATCAGCCTCATTTATAATTACAAATATACACAGATTTGTACAATTACACATCCCAGCTGGCTCCGAGGGCAAGTGCTCAAGGTTGCCCCTCTTTTCCTGAAAGCACTGGCAATTTACTTGTGGGAAAACTTATTTTATATCCTTGGGAAAATATAAGGGTGTTGCTGTTGCCCTCTGAGATGTTTTTAGGTCCTGCCCATGCCAGGAATGGCCACAGAGCTTTTGCATCAGCAGGCAAAGGAGCAAGCACTGAAATATCAGGGAAGGAAAGGGAGGAATGGCTTCATTCTCACAGATTCCTGCATAAAATAGAGGCTAAAGCACGTCTTCAAAATGATTGAGCGAGGACACTGCTCATTACATAAGGTTGTTGGGGGGAAAAAATAGGCTGATTTACATTTTTATAGGAAATAAAAGGAGGTTTGTGGGTGACATAGCACCTTCCTCTGAGAATGTCAGCATGAGATAAGTGGGCTTCAAAGGGAAGAGTAACCATTTTCCCGCAGGGACAGAGTCCATCCAGAGAGCTGAGTCTGGGAGAAAAATGCTTTTTGAAGGAAATTTTTGTTGCCGTTACAAATACGTTTATTTAGCACAATTCACATTGACTGCGAGGTTGCTACTTCTCCTTTCTGCTGGTTCCTCTGAATTTTGGTGAAGCTTTAGGTAGCAGGAAAACCAAACTGCCTCTGTTTTGTGGATGTGGTGTTTTCAGGGCAGGAGGAGAGGTCGATGTGCTTTTTAGGAGTGGGGGGATTTTGTCAGGGCTGGAGTTCAGTGATACTTTAATTTCATTCACAGCGAGTTGCCTGGTGGGGTTTTACCCTGGTTTCAGGTTGGTGGCCCTCTGAGATTTGCTGTGCTGTGCTTCAGATCCGTGGCTGTCTGGCAGAACAATTCCGGTTGCTCAAAAGCACCGATTAGCATAAATGAAGGAGTGGGTGAAATGTTCATTATATTGCCTACTGTCATGTTTGTGTACCAGATTTTGTTACCATCTGTCATTTCTGTTTTCTTGTTGTTGCCAAAAGTTGTCATTCTGAATGGAGGGTGGAGACTTATCTTCAAAAGCCAACATGAGATAATTTTAGGTACTTCAGGGCTCATGTGCTCCGTGCTGGGTGTCAGTGGCCCTCACGTACATCAGCCCCACGTGTCTTTGGTAAAATCTGGGCAATGGTTTAGTTAAAGGAGTTTTTGAAACCATTGGGGTCATGCATATGCACAAGATTCTCATCTCTTGTAATTTAAAAAGAGTATCCAGTCCTTGCAATTGAAAAGAAAAGCTTGAAAATAAAATACGTTTTCCTTAATCTTAAAAAAAAAAATAAAAAATACAGGGTACAGAGAAGGGTGCATGTGGGGACATGGCAGTGTTAAAATCCAAGGAGCTGCCCAGAGATCTGACCGAGGGAAGCAACAGCTCTGCTATAACGGACTGCAGCATCCCCAGATCATTTCCAGAGATGTAAATATCCCAGGGACTGAAGCTGGACAAATTCAACGTTGAGATGAGCCGCAGCTCTCTTGCAGGAGCGGTGGCTGCGTGCTGCGACAGCGCGCGAGGGGAGCAGTGCCTGCACAGGGGCCTGCAGCCTCTCCAGCAAAATTAGCTCATTGCAACCACACAGCTTTAGTGCAGGGACTGGGAGGAAGGGCTCAGCCTGCAAGCAGGGGGCTGGGGGGTGAAGCCATGAGGATTTCTTGCCTTGTCCAAGTGTTTTGTGATCATCCGGTCTGAAAGCTCAGTGCCCTGTGCCAGCTGGGGATGGAGAGGGCTCAGGGTGCCTGGATCATCCTCCTTCCATCGGGCTGGAGCACCAGGTGCTGCTGTGAACTGTCAAATCCTCCCTGGCAGTGCCAGGCCCATGCTGGCACCTCGTCGCTTCCCATGTCAGCCCACAGCAGCTCTGCTCTCCCCAGGGTTGCTGGGTTTTCATCTGGCCTGAGTGACAGGGCTCAATGTTCACCTGAAATGCAGTGACTTGTGACATCCAAAAATGCAGAAAAGGTGATCTAATTACTTCAACTGGACTTAAACTCCAGGAAAATATAAAGCCAGACAGTTTGGGGATTTTTTTTGTTAGTTTGGGCTCAGCCAGTGGTGCAAAGTCATAACCAAAGCCATGATGTGCCAGTGTTGTGGTGAGAACTCTCACTGGTGTGGGAGTGCAGAGGGTCACTGCTTCCTCCAGGAGAGCTGGGGAAGGAGGAGATGGAGCTGCCTTTGCTCTGGAAGCAGCAGAGATCACTCTAGACACCTCTGATCAAAGGCTGGGGGGTGACCAGGATCATGCAATGATTGCAGTAATTACTGGGTACTTCTTCAAAGATGTCTCAGGTATCTCTGTTTTGTGTTATGATCTGTATTATGCACCTTCCAGTGCCTAAAGGGGCTCCAGGAGAGCTGCAGAGGGACTTTAGATGAGAGTCTGGAGTCACAGGACAAGGTTTCCCACTGCCAGAGGGATATTGGGAAGAAATTTTTCTCTGGGAAGCTGGTCAGGCCCAGGCACAGGGTGCCCAGAGAAGCTGTGGCTGCCCCTGGATCCCTGGAAGTGTCCAAGGCCAGGTTGGACAGGACTTGGAGCACCCTGGGGTAGTGGAAAGTGTCCCTGCCCATGGCAGGGAGTGGAACAATATGGGCTTTAAGGTCCCTTCCAATCCCAACCAGTCTGTGATTCTATGAAAGCCCTGTATTTTATCAAATCTTTGGGTTCTTTTATAATACAGATTTGAGGTAACAGCTCTGTCATGTTTTAACACTTCAATAACGTAAATTGTCTTTCCTAGCTCAAATTCTCCCATATTTGCTCTCTCCCAGAGGATAATTCTACAAAGCTCATGAGCAAATTCCACACGAGCCTTTCAGGATGCTGTGAACATCACTGACAGCCGTTGTGAAAAAGTTGGGTCTGGGTTTGTTTCACAAGTGTGAAATAATTTTCAGAGCTCTCATATTCAAACCAGCCTGGTAAATTGCCCTAAATGAGCACCAAGTGTCATCTTGTGTGGATGACAGAGGAAGCTGGAATGCAGCTGAGAAGCCTTTGGACAAGCAGGAAGAAGTGGGCTTGGGCCATGGGGAGTGCAGCTGACCTGGCAGAGGAGCCAAATGGGCTGATTGAGGAGATGTGACCACACACGGGATGTGGAGGAGCTGGGGATTGAGATGAGGTGCAGTAGTTTGTCAGGCCCTGCTCCAGGGTGACAGTGATGGGACCTCCAGGCTGGGTGATTGACAGCTGATCTGGCTCCACTTCCCTGGTCAGCACAAGGCTGGGATAAGCTGATATAGGGTGGAAGAAAAGCAGAAAAAAAAGGAATTTCTCATCTTAACACCTAATGTGCTGCTGGCTTAAGACAGGAAGAGAAGCGACCTCGGCTGATCCAAGAGGGAAGCACAGAGCACATCGACAGCCAAGCCATGAAACTCCACACCACAGGAATGAACCATTCATGGAATTAACCATCGTGCCCAAGGTGGACAGCTTGGGGTGAAAAGTTAATCCTGATATAATTAGAGACAGCCATGAACAGCAAAATCGTGGAGTCACAGGTCACAGGGTGAGATGCCACCAAGACCTTGCAGTGTGTCAAGTCTTGCAGGAATGGGACAGGAGTGTAACAGAAATCATCTGCCTCGTGCTTCAAAGGATGGAGCAATATCCTGAGAGAGCTGGGGAAGGTTTTTCTGTCCACCAATGAAGTGTTTGGCCTTGAGGAACTCAGGCAAGAATATCATGTCCAACAAAGGATACAAAACCCAAACAAATTAAAATGCATCTGGACTGATGTGCAGGTATGTTAAAAGAGTTTCCTGACCTTTACAGGGATTGTTTTATTCCCTAGAGCATCACATTTTATTACTATTGCCTTCTACATAATTTGTCACAGAAAAATATTATTTTGGCTATAAAATTATTTGCCTTAATTTAAGCTCTGCAATAGTATTTAACTTTCTGGTCCTTTTTGAAATTAATTTCCCCAGGCAAATTACATCCTGTGCAAAGAGGTTCTTGTCATTAATGTCACAGAATGGGACACCACAGCTTGGAGGGGGGGTGGGGGTTGGTGGGGGTGGTAATTTCTTTGATAACCTTAAAAGCAACAGAGTAGAGCACCTCCTTGGAATCATTCTCTCACAGGTTTTCCAGAGGAAATGGTCCCATTTTATCCTGTGCTGACCATCACCATCACCTCAGTCACTTTGCTGCCCTGCTGTGATCCCCTTACTCTGAGCAGGGTGCCAGAGAAGCTGTGGCTGCCCCTCCCTGGGAGAGTTCAAGGCCAGGTTGGACAAAGCTTGGAGCAGCCTGGAGAGTGGAAGGTGTCCCTGCCCATGGCAGGGGGTGGAATAGGATGGTCTTCAAAGTCCCTTCCAAACCAGTCTCTCATTCCATATTTCTATGAGCTAGAAGCCATAATGACAATAATTAGTTCTACTTTCACCTGACCCCATTATTTGGGAGCTCATGCAAACTTACAGTGAAAGGTGATTAATGCTGAAAAAGGGTTTTCCAGCTAAAGCCCTCATGTTGTGTTTGGGAGAAACTCTGGACTGAGTCACCAGGAAAGGTTTGGGTTTGGCTCTGTGCTGGGCACCCAAGAAGTGCCAGGTATGATTCAGGCAGCCAAAACAAGGCAACAGGAGGGATGCAAGATGCATCCAGCTGGGATGCATGAGAGCCAGGCTGCCCAAGGAGCTGCCCGAGAGAACCACAGGGCTTCAGAAATAGTGGAGCCTTTAAACTTGTTGTTGCCATAACAAGAAAAAATAAAGAATTTGGTTTGAATCAAATGTGAAAAATTTGCTGAAGGAGAAGGTGAGTGGATTGATGTGTTTTAGTCATTTTGTCCTCTCTTACTCCCTTTATTTTCCCAGTTTTGGAGTTAAAAGCTGTTTTTTAAGTTTTGCTCACACAGCAGGGAAATTAGGTGTTTTCACTGTCAATTAATAAATCAGATGGTTTCAGTGCTTTCTGAGTTCTGAAAGCTGAAACTCTGGGGGGTTTTCTGAGTACTTACTGAATCCCTGAACACACCAGAGTTACCTGCTGAAGCTGAAGATTTCCACAAACACCTTATCTGCTAGAAAAAGGGTGAAAAGAGTCATCATCATCCAACTTATGGGGCAATGTGGGGCGGGGCCAGTCCCACTTTCTACTGGTCCCAAACCAGTGAGCACTGAGCTTCAAGCTCCTGTAGAATTTGCTCTTTTTTTACACAAAACAAGGAAAAACTCTTGTGGTAGGGGAATAGCAAGGCTGGAGGCACAAACCAGGCAGTAATATATTCCCCTTGTCGACCCAGCTCAATGCCCTCCCTGTCCTGATGAATATTGAAGAATTTCATACAAATTGGAACAGGTTCAGCAGGACAGTTTTCCAAGACCCAGCCCAGAAAGGCTTCCTGGTCGCTGCTGGGGGCCCTTTCCTCTGTGGGAGGAGTGCAAAGTCCACAGGAGGAAATTCTTCCCTGTGAGGGTGAGGAGGGCCTGGCACAGATTGCCCAGAGAAGCTGTGGCTGCCCCATCCCCAGAGGTGTCCAAAGCCAGGATGGGGTTTGGAGCAGCCTGGTCTGGTGGGAAGTGTCCCTGCCCATGGTACAGGGTTGGAACAAAGGGGCTCTAAGGTCTCTTCCCACCCAAACCATTCCATGATTCTATGAGTGCACGTGGCAGTGCCAGAGCAAGGACAGGGCAGCCACCTGAGTCTGTACCATTCTCCAAGAACTTGGGCACAGTTAACTCTCGGAGCCTAATGCAGAGGGCGAGGGACCTGTCTGCCACCTGAATCCAAAACATTTCACAGCTGGCTTTTAACCCAGCAGAGAGGGGGAGAGAGAGGCTGACACTGCAGAAGAGCTTGGAGTTGCTCTCTGGATGACTATGGGAGTTCAGCAAAGTTTCTGATGAAAAATAAAGTTTTTCAAGAGTTGTGATGAGTTGAATCCACAGCAAAAAGCTTAAAGGCTGGTGTGGAAGCCAGGATTAACACTGAGAAGGTACAGAGAGTTTCCCAGGAATGAAGCTCCTGGAGATAACCAAGTCTTGCACTAAAGCTGTGACTGACAGCAAGAAGAGAAGAGGCAGAGGGACAGGCAAGGCTGAATGGAGCAGGAAGAATTGCAGAGCCATACTGTTGTGGCTGCCTCCACCAACCAGGACAATGGCAGAGCAGGAAAAAATGCCACCAGTGTCCCCATGGCCTGGCTTGACAGTGGCTCAGCAGAGTTTTGCACACAGGTCACTAACAGGATGATGGTGAGACTGTGAGCTTGGCCAGAGTTTTCTTGGGAACACCAGATTTTGCTGCAGCAAAAAATAAGGACTGTCAGCCAGAACACAAGGAGGGCATTTCCAAATGTGATCCCAGACACTTACCTGAAGTCACTGCGTTGTTGTGAGCATTGCTACTGATTAGGAAAAAAAAAGGAGAAAAAAAAAAAGCACAAGCTATATGTAGAGAAAGAAAAAGAAAAAAAACCCCATAAGATTTATAGTAATGAATTACTTCCACAAAAGGCATATGCAGTGTGTCCAAGTAGGTTAATAAATGCTTGGATGGCATTGAATTGAAAGGAGCAATGCTTATTGTGGTCAAAAGTGCTGAGCACTTGATTACAGAATCATAGGATGGTGTTGTATGGAAGAGACCTTAAATGCTATTTCCTTCTACCCATCTCCCATGGCAGGGACACCTCCACCAGACCAGGCTGCTCCCAGCCCCATCCAGCCAAGCCTTGAACATTCCAGGAATTCAGGGGCAGCCACAGCTTCTCTGAACACCCTGTGCCAGGGCCTGCCCACCCTCACAGGGGAGAATTTTTTCCTGATATCTAAGCTAAAACTATTCTCAATTTGAACCCATTCCCCCTTGTCCTGTCACTACATGTTCTTGTAAACCATCCTTCCTTTCAGTTCCCTGTAGGTACTGGAAGACCTTGTCTCTGTGATGCCATCAAGGAATGAGCAGAGGACAGAAATGACATGGGAGAAATCTGGAGACACCTTTCAAGGAATGAGGAATCATCCAACCCCTCTGGTTTGAAGATGCTGCAGGCCACTGCTCTGAGCTGTGTGGAGGGAGCAGAATGAATGGAGGGAAGCACGAGCCCTGGTGGGAAGGATGAGGTCTTGCTCCAAGATAAAGGTTCAGGCAAGAGGTGGAACCTGTGTGAATTTGGCAGAGGGGAGTGTGAGCAGTGCTCACTCCTGAGCTCACAGCTCAGCACCCAAGCTCAGACTGAGCATCTGGGATTCAGCTCACACCAAGCTGTGAGTGGCAGCACCTGAAGAGCTTGTGAATGCTCTCTCCTGCTGGTGGTGCAATGGGAAGGCCACATCTTTAACAACCAGGGGACAAGGCAGGGAGGGGGGAAACACTGAAATCTTCCCATCTCAAGTGGCCAGAGTGTATCTATGGGCATCCCAGCTTTCTCTGTGCTCAGGGAAGAGATCTTTCACCATAATCTGCAGCGGAAAAAATGCTCTGTGTCTTTTTTTTGGCCTATGTTGGCTGAAACCGCCCATAAACCACTAATTGCCACTGCTAAAAGGGAGCTGGCAGACATGAAATTTGCCCAGATTACCCAGATTACTATTTTATGGGTAGAAATATGATTTCAAACTGACTGCGGGGCAGGTTGCAAACTGGTGTCAGAGAGATGAGAAACCAAAATGTAGCAGAGCCCAAAGACAGACATTTTTTGTGGCAGTTTACTTTAAAAATAAAGCAAATGGACTGTTGTGTCGCAGACAAAGTCTGAGATTGTCGAGCAACAACCCTGAGTGAGAGCACAAAGATTTATACAGGTTTTTCTTAATAGTTTGTCAGGCATGGCAAAGTTACAGGCTTCACATTTGGGACTTAAGAAAGAAGGACCCCTCAGAGTGACAGATTCAATTATGCTGATGACAGAAGACTCTGTTTTTCTTGAACTGCTACTCTTGCTTTTGTGAGATAGCCTTACACATTACTTGGGGGATTCCTCCACATCAGAGTTAGATGGTCCTGACAGACGATGGGCAAGGTTCTGAGCAATTTGCTGAAAAGCCCAAGTCTGCATCCAGTCCCCACGAGACTCTATTCAACAAGTAGGTAGGAAATGGCTTTACATTAATGAATACTTAATGAAAAGGAGAGCAGAATCAGATCTGATTGGTGCTTGTGGGGTGTCGCCCACAGAACATGTTTAGCCACCTGCAAATACTCCTTCTGCATGAAATGAAGCAAGGAGACCCTTTGGGACGTGTGTCAAGCTCTGTAGCCCACGGAGCCAAGGGTTTGCAGAAGTTCACAGACACACAGCTAAACACCAAACAGTGCTGTGATTGCGGTCCCTGGGTTACCACCACTTCCTGAACACCACGGAATTCACACACACAATGAAAATCAGAAGCCAGAAACAGCAGTTATTTCACATAAAATTGCTCCACAATCCCATGAGTACAGGGTGTGTGTAACCAGACATGCCTGGAGAAAGAATAGGCAGCACCTTCTGCAGCAGCCAGAAGGAGAAGAGGCAACAGGCTCCGAGCTTTTCTTCTATCCTGGAAGAGCTTTGGCAGCACATGGGGAGGGTAAGGCCACCAGGTGCTGGGACATAACATCACCAGGAAAAACAGACTCCCATTCCCAATGAGAACTCCTCTGGTGGTGCCACAATGACTACAAGTTACAGGGCAGAGCTCCTCAGAAGTTATTCAAACACTGCTAATTGTTTGGCTGTAAGGTTTTGAGGTCACAAGCTATAGAAATGATACTTCCATGGTTTGGGTGGGGAAGGGAGGTAGGACCTCAGGAACTGTGTCTTTAAGCAGCTTAGTTCTGGAGACAGGAAGTCTGGCGATGGGCTGCAGCAGTGCAGATTTTATTATGCAATTTCTCTTGGAACTAGTCCCTGAATAAAGGAGTTATCCATTAAGCACCTGCTTCACCCTCCCTCCTGAGCACCACAAACGAAGGTCTCAGGAATCCTTTCAAGAGTTTACCCATCAGTGGGGGAGCAGGGAGCCATGCATTGGGGTCCAGACTGGCAATATTGATGTATTTGATTTATAGTGTCTTTCAAAGGGTTTCTCTTCATTAAATCCTCTTATTCTGTTTGAGCTTGTTCCATGTTTGGCATTACTAGTGTACTAGTGGGTGAGGCCATCCAAGTCTTGCAATACTGATCCAAAGGGCTGTGGTACCCAGGCTACTCTGAGGCCCTCAGGGTATTTAATCATAGCCCTCTTTCCAAGGGGCAGTGGATAACAGCTAAGGCCTTCCTCTCCTCCTGCCATTAACCCAGTGCTGTTCTGACTCCATGGCAGGGGCAGCTGGGGCCATCCTAAGGGGACATTGCAGCACGGAGAAGCTGCAGGACACAGTGGAAGTAGGATCCTCCTCCTCTGCCCCTACTGCCTGGGGTAAAGGATTCCCTCCCTCCAAAGCACCTCCTTTCCCTCCCACTCTGCTCCTGGGACTTGCAGCCCCACTCTGACTTCACCAACATGGCAAGCCTGGCACTTGCTGTAAAGACAGAGGAGCTCTCCCAGCTAATCACGGCCTCCATACATCCTGTGCCTTTCTCCCAACAGTGGGAACAGGGCATTTCCCTCAGAGGCACCGACACAGCAGCTCCTGTCACAGCACTGGGGCTGCCAGGACCCCTGCCTCAGCGGCTGTGTGCTCAGGGCTGCAGTGCTGGTGTGACACGGGTGTGTCACCCAGCACCAGGCAGCATGCACATCCTCTGCAGAGGGGCAGTAGCTGTGGGACTGCTCAGGATCTGTCCCCAGTGGTCAATCTCCATCCTGACTTTATCCCAGAGCAGCAGAGTTTGTGCAGCAGCAGGGAAAGGGGTCATGAGGGGAGCAAAGTGCTGTGGAGAGCTCCTGGTGTCAGCCACTCTTGCCTATCCATAAGTGATGTCATTGTAGAAGCACAGACTCGTTTGGGTTTGAGGGACTTTAAACACCAGCTCATTCCACCTTCCTGCCATGGGCAGGGACACCTTCCACTAGCTCAGGCTGCCCAGGCTGCAATGACCAAGGCAAGCACAAAGAGTGATCCAAGATGCAATTCAAAACACACCAACCAAACTTGTTAAAAAGTCCAAGCAGGAGCCAGAAAAAGACACTGCTGTCCTCAGCTGTGCCTTAGAGTCTGACCTGACTCCCACCCCTCACCTCCAACAGCAAAACATTTTCCTTTAACCTAAACTGGGATAAATGCTCAATACCCCAGTAAAATGCTGCTGGATAAGAGCTGCTGCTTTTACATCTAGAGGCACTGTGAGACACTGAACCTGTCCCACACTGAAACATCCTGAAACAGAGGGGAACTCACTGCTTTGGAAGAAAATTAAAGCAGGCACAACCAGAGAGCCCTTACTTGTGTAACTAATGAGTAATACAGTGATAGAAGCAGAGGCCTGACAGAGACCTCCACGTGATTACAGCCAGACCTCAGCAAGGACAGGCACCATGTAAATAAATACAGAATTTGCAAGTAAATGTAATGAAATTCATGTAAATGTAGAAGTAAATGTAATGAATTCAAGTTTTGCAGTAAACAAAAGGCAGACTTACTCTTTGCAAAGGAATCTGTCATTATAGATCTCCTTTAAACCAATAAATTATTGCTGTTGAATCCATCTCAGCTTATGGAGCTCGTCAGCACATCCAGAATTGTGTCCAGATCTTCTCCAGCCTCTCCTCCCATTGTGGCTGCCCTTGGAGGACATTCCACCATGAAGGTGATGAAAACAGCCCCAAGCAACCCGTTTGGGTACAAGGAGCTCTGCTGCCACACACGTCACCGGGGCTCATAGGACCTGATTCTCAGGTTGGGAACCAGTATGGAAATCCATGGAACTACATGATCTCCAGTCTTGTAAACCTGTTTTGGGCTGGGGAAGTCTGTCTAGACAGAGCAGAAAGCGTTTGTAAAGCGAGGCTGGGTTTGATGCTGGTGCCTGAGAGTGGGTCAGCTCCAATGGGACATTTGCCCTCGTGTGTGGCTGCTCTGAGGGCATGGGGGAAATTGGGGGCACTGAGGGGGAGCTTGGGAGGGGGTGTTGTGAGGGGGACATTGAGAGGAATGTCCACAGTGGGATTGAGAGGGGAAATTGCAGGAGGAAAAAATGGAGAGGGACACTCTGAGGAGGACATTGAGAGAGATCATCTCTGTGGGACCGAGAGGGGAAGTTGAGAGGTGACTGCGGGGAAGCTGAGAAGGGAGACTGTGAGTGGGATGACTGTGAAGGGGGCATTGAGAGGGGACATCCATAGTGAGACTGATGAGGCAGACTGGAAATGTAACTGTGAGGGAAAACTGAGGACGGCACAGGGAGAGACTGAGAGGGGACATCCACTGTGGGGTTGAGAGGAGAGACTGGGGTGGGGGCTCTGAGGAGTATGAGGGGAGGGAAACCCATGAGGGGGCATTGAGCCATCCGTGGTGGGAATGAAAGGGGAGATTGTGGGGGTGACTCTGAAAGGACTGAGAGGGGAAGGGGGGATCATGGGGAGCCGTGGAGGGGGCACGGTGAGGGGGGCACTGCAGGCAGAGAGGGGACAGTGGGGGGACACTGCCGAATGGCTGAAGGGAGGGCTCTGAGGGACTGAGGGGGGACTCTGCCGGGCCAATGAGCCGTCACAGTGGGACTGCGAGGGGAGATTGTGGGGGCACTACGAGGGGACTGAGGAGAAAGGGGGACTGTGGGGAGACTTGGAGGGGTCGCTGCGAGGGGAGCACTAAGACATCTCTGGTGGAACTGTGGGGAGGCTGCGGGGGACGCCGTGAGGGGCGAGCAGACATCTGAGGAGAGCGGGAACACTGTGAGGGGACAGCTCCGACAGGAGCAAACAGGAAAGACCGTGGCGACGACTTGGACGGGGAGAAATGTACTCTGAGGGGACTGAAGGGAGACTATGAGGGGGCAACGGCAGGAGGCACCTGAGGGCAGACGGAGAGGGGACGCTGTGACGGGGTGCGACGGGGGGAGCCCCGACTGGAACAAACAGGGCAGACCGAGGCGGGGCACGGCGGCGGAGAGCGAGCGCCCAGCACTGCGGGCACGGTGTGTGGGGCGGGGTCGCCGCCCGCCCCGCCGCCGTCCCCGAGCCCCTCAGCGGAGCAACTGAGGACGGCGCCGCGGGGGCCGGGGCGAAGCCGCCGCCGCGGAGGGGAGGGGACGGGGCGAGGCGAGGGGAGCGTGTGGGGGGGCGGAATGCGCCCCGAGTGACGGCCTGAGCCGCCATCCGGGCACCGCGGCGGGGGGAGCGCCCGGGAGGAGCGCGGCCGGCAGGGAGGGGGCGCTGGGCCCTTCGCTCCCCGCCCCGAGCCCTCCTCCCTGCGGCCTGCGGCGGCCCGGCATGGGGGAGCGGGGGCGGCCGGCCGGGCACTGAGCGGCGCTGTTGGGTTCCCGTGCGGCGGAGGAGCGGGGACAGCGAGCTCGGCCCCCCCCGAGCACCCCCCGACAACGATCACCGGCTCCGCCGCTCCGGCCACCATGGCGGAGAACTTACTCGACGGGCCGCCCAACCCCAAGCGAGCCAAGCTCAACTCGCCGGGCTTCTCCGCCAGCGATAGCACAGGTAAGGCCGCGGGGGTGGCTCGGGTGGGGCTCCACGGCGGTTCTCCCCCCACACCCCCCCGCCCCGGCGGAGGGGGGGCCTGGGGACCGCCCGCCCTGCCGCGGTTCCTGGCGGGGGTGGGTTGGGCCTCCTGCAGTCGAAGTTACCGGGCGGGACCCGTACGCCAAGTACCGTCCCGGCTATAAATAGCGGTTGGAAAGAGACGTTTTTTGAGTCGGGTTTCCCTTCTTTTCCTCTGTCGTCTTCGTTTTTAGTGCCTCGGTTTGGGTGATGGGGTGGACAGGTGAGTGGGGTGCGGGTAGGGAAGGAGAAGGGCCAGGCATGCGAAGCACCGGCCGTCCTGCTTATTGTACAATCATGGAACGGTTCGGGTAGGAAGGGACCTTAAAGCCCGTCTTGTTCCATCTCCTGCCACGGGCAGGGACACCTTCCACTATCCCAGGTTGCTCCAAGCTCCGTCCAGCCTGGCCTTGGACACTTCCAGGGATGGGGCAGCCGCAGCTTCTCTCGGCAGCCTGCGCGAGGGCCTCGCTGTCGTCAAAGGAAGGAATTTCTCCCCGATACAGAATCTAAATCTACCCTCCTTCAGCTTAAAGCTGAAGGTGCCTTCTTGGAAGAGTAGTTGAGGTTTCTGTCTTCTCCTTAAACCCCACAGATTACCCACAGCTAATAGCCCTGTACAGGCTTTTTCACCGTGCCCCTGTGTGTGACACACTACGGAATAAAAACTCCTTAATAGCTTCTTAGTCATAGAATGATTTGGGTTGGAAAGGATCTTGAAGACCATCTAATTGTACCCTCCAGTTAATACTTTGTGCTTTTTTTTACACCCCAACCTGTGACCGAGGTTTTAAGGTATTTGGCTTAAACTGTTTCAAGCATTTTTCCTTTAAACCCCAAACGATTGGCCGATAATGATTGAAGTTGTGGGGTTGCTCGTATGCCGAAATACCCGGCAGCCTGGCAGTCACTGCCACTTGTCTGTGTCTTGTAGTCTCTCTGGCGTGCCTTTTTCTTCAGTTGTGATGGGTTTGTAGGTAATACAACACATCAAAATGTCTCGTTTCCAGCCAGTGTGTGCCTGTTGTAAATACACACGTGTGTGCACAAGAGCATGTGTGCCTGGACCGGCCTCTCCCGCTGTTCCAACTGTTTCAATCCCTGAAAGAGTGGTTTCAGAAGAACACGAAGTCTGTTGCACTTGAATTTCTGCTTTCAGAGATTAATGAATCTTGTGGAAGGGATAGTGATAAGTTAATCATGCTTTGCCTGCTGTGTTTTCATAGACTGAAAAAAAATATTACTATAATTGAGCTGATAAATTCTGTGGGTTTTTTCGTCTTGCTCAATCTGCATTTGGCAACACTTTACAGATGCTTCGGTCCTTTAGAGGTTTTTTATGGAAACCTTTTCTTCTCAGCCTGCAAATAAATGAAACAGGCGAGAAAGAAACAGTATCGAATAAGAACTGTCAGGGAATGTCGTCTAGGTGAGGTCTTGTGATTGAACCGTGTTAATCCCTTGTGTGGAAGCCCTGGAATATATGGAAGGCTGATACACAAGTTGCTGCGAAATGCTCTTTGTAACTCAGGACAAATACAGTTTATAGTTCTTAATTCTTCAGCGAGACATTTTAGACTCTCCTGGTAGCCAGTGTCTTGGTTTGGTTTTTTTTTTTCTTTCTTCTTTCTTTTTTGAAGTTCACTTGGGCTGTTCTGGAATGCTTCAGTCTTAATTACGTCCTGTTCAGCAAGTTCTCATGTGTCTCGGGGAGCTCTGTGTGCTGCTGGATGTGTGAACTCCAGCATCTGCAGAAAGTTCTGCAGGGCTCAGGGGGCCTGGGGCACTGCGATGGCAAACCCCGAGTTGTATTCTGGACGAGTGTGTCCAAGGAGTTCTGTCATCGTCCCGGTGTTCCATAGGCAAAAGTACCTCTCTGCCAAGGGCGTGGGTAATGTTTGTGCACTTAAAGAGAGGGTTGTTTTTAGGAAAAGCACTTCTAGGTTTGTTGCCAGCAGTTAATGCTGCTTGTTGAAGGATCGCTGGAGGTTTCCGTGCATTGTGGCAGGCGATACAAATACTTTGAGTAGTGATTGCTGTCAAATGCCTGCTCCTGGAACTAAACCAGGCTGCTCCCTGGTGCTGGGGCTTAAATGGAAAAGTTCTTTTGCAACCTAGAAAGTGGCCTTTGTGATCGGGGGAGCTTGGGGAGATGGGTCTGAGGCTTTTGCCCTGGGTGAGCAGTGAGTTGAGCAGAATTACTGTAATTGCAGTCCCACACGGTGGGTGCTGTGGCTGCCGTGAGGGGGACGTGCTCTCACCGCTGCCGCCTTGGGCCCGGCTGAGCAGTTTGGCTCAAGCCTGCAAATGCTCACACCCGAGGCTCTGATGGCAGGCCTGAACATTGGGCAGAAAGCAACTGCTCTCCTCCTTGTTTATATTTCTCTTGATGCTTTGATGCGGTGATGTTAAGCAACTCCTTTTGTCAGGGTAAGTTTTAGCTGCCTTTAATCTTTCTGATAAAAATAGCTCCTCAGCTTACCGGGGCAAAGTTTGTGCCGTTGAAATTGGTCTGTTTACCTTCTGAAAATATGGTC